AAAAAGAAAAGTCGATGACACTCCCATTTCTCCGGGACTTTCCCGGAGACGTGTGATGCATTGAGGCTGAGATCCCTCTAGAATAGACAATGAAGATCGAAATGGTGATAGGAGTTATCTTTTCTAGGACGACAATTTGGATATTCACCACAATGTTCTTAATTTTTTTTAATTTAACTGATTATTTCCCCCTCTGAATACCAAATGCAGTATTTGACGTATTGCGGAGGAGTGGTGCTAGAATTATTTCGATTATTTCCCCTATCACCTCTTCGACCAATAGAATTGCGATATTCGATGTTCCGTGGTCCAATAAAAAAAAAACTATATTGACAATTTCCTCAATTCTGATTTTGACCAATCAGAGTGCAGTATTCGGAGACACGTGACGCGTTTCATACTGATAATTTGACCGGCTGCAGGGAAACTATCAGACTTGATAATCTTGATAATCGATCAACGTCTGCCCTAGAAGATATCTTCGCAATAATCTACAATTCCTTGTTAAATTCGATCCATCAAATAAATCGACTAACGTATATTAATAATTTAACAAATGGAATCAAATGAAATTGAAAAATCTTTTCCTGAATTTTAATTAAATAGTTGTTAAATTTCACCAACTAGTTGGATTTCAACAACTAGTTGGTAATTCATTTTTTCAACAACTATTCGGTGAAATTCACCAAATAATTTTCTCTGTGCAAGTACTTTGGCTATTTTTTTCCAGTGAAATGGGTTTCTGTTTTTATAGTCGAACATCAGAGCTTTCATTTGAGGCCCATTTGACTCCATGTTTCCGGACATTTTACAATAATTTTATTGAAACTTTGCAGGTCTGAATTTGAATCTCGATATTGAACCATTAGAAAACATTTTAAAAATCTGAAAAAAATACCAAGTTTACGTTTGGACAAAATTTGATAAAATAATTTAAAAATTGCAATTTTTGAAAATTACGAGCATTTTCTATAACTAATTTATAAACAATCAATTTTTTGCGGTAAAAATCATTTGGTTGCAATCGAAAGAAATTTATTCATGTTCAGAATTCCCGTCGAAAAAAATTACATTTCCGAAAGATTAAACAATTCCAATTAATGATTAATAAACATCGAATGTTTAAAACAATCATAATTCTGTGCAAAATGTAATTTTAATGACGCTGAATGTTCATGATTTTTTTCAAAAGTTTTCCAACACAATTTAATTGACAAATTTGATGATTGAAAATGGTTGAATCTACCTATGTGGTTTGTACCGAACTGAAAAAGATACTTGGACATCCTTAATGGTTAATCTGGAAAACTGATCTCGTTGCTATGCAATAAAACTTTTCGGACAATTTTGAAGATCTTAGGGGATTAAAGCAGGTAATTTTCGGTCATTTCCATTTAGTCGTATAGCAACATTGACTGAAAATTTTCTGTTAAAATAATTTGAATTCCGGTATGAATATGGCTTTAATCCGCAAAAACGTCAAATACTGTATTTCTATAGGTCGAAGTTCAGATGCGGAATAATGCAACTGCTCGGGATAAATTTTGCAATAAAATCCATCGCGGGGCGCGCTGGCGATTTTAATCTGCTCCCTCTGGTTGATATGCAACAAGACTATCGAACAATTTTCGACTATTGTGAAACTCTCGGGGCATCCCTACTGACAGATGTACGCGCCAGGAAATCAGTAAACTGTTCCTAAAAATGAAAACTTTTTTTTCTCTGTGTACTTTGATTTGATTGACAGCAACAAATTCAACAATGCACTCTATAACTATTGGAGTTCAAGGAAAAATATTGAGAGCAGATAGATTAGGAACTCAGAGCAATAGTCGCCGGAAGTTTCGTAATTTCAATTTTCTTATAGGTCTGAAAATAGCATCTCCATTTAATATTGTCTTCCTCATTGACTAATTTCTCAACAAAAACATCCGTATAGTGATTCCCTGCGGATCATTCGTTCATGATTTCATTGTTTTCACCTGAAGTTTCAAGAATAATTTTCTACCAGTGCGCAAATAATAGATTCAATCTGTGATTTATTGTTGTTTGTGCACGAGCGCACTTTACAGATCCATAAACCACTCGTGATTTTGTAATTTCGTCACTTTTATTCTCGATCTCCATTCGTGGTGACGACTGGGTTCATTACAGATGCATAAAAGATGGTGAAAACAGGAAACGAGATATTTTAATTGGAAATATTATAGCTTTCCTCTCGAAGACGAAATTGAGAGTAAAAATTATTCATTTGCCCTCCTTCAGAGAGTCTGCGATCTAAATATCTTGGAACGCGCATCCGCATAAATAAAGCATTAATTAAAAATAAATAGGATGAACAGAAAATATGAGTACAAAAACTTCACAATAAGATAAAGAACAAAAATTAAAAAGAAGTAACACTACCGTCAGACATAAATTTTAGAAAGAAAGAAATTAATGCATATCTAGTGGAGCGCATTCTGAAGAGGAAAATGGACATTTATAATGAGGCCATTCAAAGATTACGTACACACGTTTTTTGGACTTTTCAGACCTCCTCCTTCCTCATTGACAAGCCGTCATAAACATGGACCCCCCCCCCCTTGTTATTACGTCACAAAATCCACGATCTTCCCTTGTTATGGCAAATTTTTTAGCTGCTTCATTAAATTAAATAGGAGAAATAGTAATAAGAAAAAAAGGGAAATGATTAGGTCAATTAAATTTTTATGCAAAGCTCTTTGAACCTTTTGTAACTTATTAAATTGTTGCCATCACAGCGTTCCGAAATTCCCCTTTGTAAATATTTGGGGTAATTTGGAGAACTGGTGAAACTTGTAATTTTTTCGTGAAAAGGGGACGAGAACAAAGTTGCATTTGCGATTTTGTCGATTAAAAATGAGAAAAATGGACATCACAACCTAAGCAACCTCTCGCCCTTTCGTCACAAACTACAGACCTCCTCCTCCTCCTCCTCCT